GAACAGCCTCACTGACTCCTGATCAAGCTGCTTAACGGCCATAATCCTAGAGACTCAGGAACAAATCCCAGAACCCAGCAGGTATATGGCAAAATCCCTCCAGATTTAATTGTTAAAATTTCGGAATTTCAAAATTGCACGGCCACTACTGCGGCCATGCAACATCATATGTTATTCATAACCAGCAATAGAAAACAAATTGTCCACTGTTGCCTTTTCAGCAGATCTGAGTGTTGGGATAAAATCACAAATAATAATGGTGGGTCTGGTGTCAAAATATTGAATGTTATCAAAGTAGAGTGAAAGCAATGTGGAAATCATCTGCCCCACAGGTAGGGGGAGGGTGTGGGATGGGGATATACTGGGGTTTTGGGGGGTGGACAGTGGACACTGGTGAAGGTACAGGTGTTTCATTGTATAACCGAGACTTAAACCCGAAAGCTTTGTAACTGCTCTCATGGTGATGCAATAAATAAAATGATAAAAAATGGAAAAAAAAGAGTAAGGCGAAGTTCATGCCCAATTCAATCAGCTAATCAGTGGCTGAATAAATAGCAGTACTCCTACATAAAAAAAAAAAAAGGTGAACAACCAGATAACATGACTTAAAATAAGAAATGTTCTTTCCCCCTATCTTGACAAATAATCAGGATAACAGACTGGAAGGTGTGATTTAAATGTCAAGTTCCCATGATGTTCCAGAATGTAATGAGAACCCTGGTATGAGATCATCCTCTCTTATGAGCAAACTCACCCATATTTGTGAACATCTCAGAAAGCTTATCCTAGCTATGTCTATATTTCTAACACAGTCATTTTTGATTTGATGTTTGCATACCTCCCCAAATTGACTTTCCATCTGATTTTTGTTTGGGGGCCATATCTGGTGATACTGAGGGGTTATTCCTGGTTCTTCACTTAGGAATCACTCATGGAGATGCTCATGGGACCACATGGGAGATCAGGGATTAAACCCAGTTTACAAAGCAAGCCCTCTACCTGATGTACTATGTATGAGCCCCCGCCATCTCCCCTCCCACCATATTGAATTTCAAAAGTGCTGGACCAGAGAAGGAGCATCCAGCATGTGCTGCAAGCATTCTCAGGGTCAATTTGATGGGAGTACTAGAGTTTGTGCTAGAATATACATATTGTTGCAGATATTTTCATTAGTTTACTTGGCCAAGGCTTCAGGAGAAAAACTGTTTTTTTTTTTTTTGGCAAATACTGTCACATTTAATATTGGTTTTTAAGATCTAGTGATCTGATGTCCTATTTACAAAAGTATAAATATTAGACATTTCTAGTCATCTTTTGCGTTCATGTGATCTATTAGTATTTTTTTGTTTTCTGATCAAACAATGGCTTAAAATATTCAATCTATGCTAAATGATAGTCATACACTTAAAATCAAAATTAGATGAAAAGGAAAGGCCCATATTTCCAAAGTCTTTGTAACATGCCTTGAAGCTAATGATACAAATTAAAACGTGGTATCCCCCATTTCTTTTTTTTTAACTTAATAAAATTTTGTTTTTCAAGATGCAGTTGATACCTGCTCACTTATCTATCCTGGTGCCTGGGAAGTACTTTGGTGTTTGTGGTGTAAAGTACTTGAGCTCTGAAACCAGTATAATAAGTCCTTTATTTATTAAAGCTTCTGGGGGCTACCCTGCCTGGCACACCACAAATGTGAAGCCTTTCAGACACAACATGGGTGAGGGTAAAACATTAATAGTTGAGAACTTCTTGCACAGTTTGTCATAGATGGCTTTGTCAAAAAAGATTAGGTGATTGAGCTTGTTCCAAACTTTGCATTTGTACCACTTCTTTTTCACCATGCCCCCAGGTAGATTTTTCTTGACTGACTTTCTAGCATCTTTCTTTTTCTTGGGTCCTGGGGGAGCATCACAAGGTTCAGGGCGAGAAGCTCACAAGTCAACCTCACAGTGCTTTGTTCTGGCCCAGGAAAACTCAACTCTCCCCCTCTTTTTAAAAGTTCAAATGACACCACTTTGCATTAATGAAAGAGCCACATTGTCTTTTTGCTAACCAGTCAAAGTCCAAAGGGGATTTTCACTTTTACAACAAAAGGCTTAAAGCATAAATGGCATTTGGCATTTGTCTCTCAGCAGCTGTTCTAGAAGCAGAAAGAGCCCTGAGCAGTTCATGTGGCACCACTAAGAGCTTTTCCTCGGCACTGCTTTATTGAAGCCCTGTATTTATCATTGATTTCCCATGTTTTTACTGTATGCGGTGTCATTTTAAGCTTATTATTGATGTCATTTGGTAGTTGTTATAATAGTCAGAAAATAATAAAGATTTTTTTCTCTACACATTAATGTTAATAGCTACTCAACTTATGACACTTCCGAATTGCAAATGATTTCACAGAAATATTTTGCTTTTGGTTAACTGTGTGTCTTTGTGTAGTGTGTGTAGGTGGATTATTCTAACTTTCTATATAATTTTGAAAAGATACAAATTTTAAGTGTTTCAACATTGTTTGGTGAAGAAGGGATTGTGGAGGACCATGTGGTGATGGGCAAAAGCATGTGCTCTTTCCTTCCTCCCTCCCTCCCTCCCTCTCTCCCTCCCTTCTCCCTCCCTCCCTCCCTCCCTCCCTCCCTCCCTCCCTCCCTCCCTCCCTTCCTTCCTTCCTTCCTTCCTCCCTCCCATCCATCCTCCCTCCCTCCCTCCCTCCCTTTCTCCTTCCCTCCCTCCCTTCCTTCCTTCCTACCTTCTTCTTTTTCTTTTCATGGCTTAAGGGTGAAACCAGGTAAAGTGTACACAAAAGATTCACTTTTCTAATAAGACACATTCTCAGCCAAGTCTTTCTTCCATTTTGATTAAGATATTTAAAAATTTAGTCTGGCATTTTGGGATGGGGCTCATTGGTGGAGTGTGAGGCTCTGAGTTTGGTTCCTTGCATTCTCTTGCATCACTGATAGTGATCCCAACAGGGCACTAAGTGTGACACTCTCATTCCCAAATGCAAAACCGTGACAACAACAAAATAAATAAATGAAGAAAAGCATTAAAATATCTTGTAAAATGCCCTCTAATTATTAAGCATCAAACCTGGTTGTGATAAGTAAATATTTATCAAGAATAATATTTGAATCATTTTTTTATATTTGTGATAAGTCAAGCAATCAAATATATGTGATAAAATATATATCTATATATTGATTGAGCTTAAATTTAATCACAGAAATTTTGAGGCAACAAATGCTATGTTTAACAAATTTGAAGTATATTTTTTGTGGTTTTGAAAATTCTTCAAATACATTATAAATCTGTGGTAGAACATGTGAAAAATGCTGTCTAGTGTTGGTTTTAAAAAAATCAATTGTTTATACATACTTTATTCCTATTTAGGGTTATCCCTTACATCTTGACAGTAGTTTCTATTCAAGAAATATTAACTGTTCTGAGGGTTAATACATAATTCTCAAAAGAGCTCATAAAATATTATCTCATACAGAGACAATGTTACAGAAAGTCTATATCATCCTGTAAAATAGAGACGTGGTGAACATAGAGAAAAAGAGAATAGAGAAGAAAATTTAAAGCCAATTTTTATACGATTAATGTATTTTAACGCCACAGGCAACCTGTAGTCTCACTCAAATTACGCAATTTATAGTTAGCTTTTTGCTTGTTTACTGTTTTGGGGGGATGAGGATTGGGGGTTAGGGGTCATACCTGGCAGGGCTCATGGCTTACTCTTGGCTTTGTGCTCAGGATTTACTCTGGGTGGGCGTGGGGGAATTATGTGCTAGTTGCTAGTTTTATTCCAGACAAATACTCTACCCGCTGTACTATTATTCTGGCCCCTAAAATTAACCATTTCTGATGTCTGAGCTACCTATGACGTATTCAATATGCCAAACACAGTAAGGACAAGTCTCACAATGGAGATGTTACTGGGCCCACTTCAGCAAATTGATGAACAATGGGAGGACAGTGACAGTGACAGTGATGCCAGAGAATTCAATTGTTAGGGAAAATGTCTTGCCTTGTGGCTGACCTCGGTTTGACCCGGTTACCACTTGGCCCTTCAAGCATTGCTGGTGCTACATTGTGGTTCTTGAGGATCACAGGTAAAGTCCTGGAAGCCCCAGGGCACCACTTGAAAGACCCTAATGATCCTCAGCACTGCAGGCCTGAAGATGTACTAAATCTTCTAAACCTTGCATTGAACTATTATATTTGCCAATAATCAGTAGGAGGGGCCTGTAGGGCTCCTGAGCAACTCCCCACCCAACTTAAATAAGTAAATGTTTTGGGGCTGGAGCAGTAGCAAAGCGGGTACGAAGTTTGCCTTGCATGTGGCCGGTCTGGGTTTAATTCCCAGAATCCCATAGGGTCCCCTGAGCACTGCCAGGGGTAATTTCTGAGTGCAGAGCCAGGAGTAACCCCTGTGCATCGCAGGGTGTGACCCAAAAACCAAATAAATAAATAAATAAATAAATAATAATAATCATCATTTTTTTTGTTGACCATGAAAATTTAGAAGTAATTCACAGAAAAGTAAGTCATTGTTTTGTTGCATATATTTTCAAGCCCTCACTCAACAGACTGGTGGTGAGCTGCAGACATTTCCTGCCAAACTGAGAAAAAAAAAATCAGTGCCTTTTAGAATATGGTAGCCGGGATCATGTAACTGTTATACATGGGCAGGAAATTTCTGTGGACCAGTACTATCAGTGGATCAGGGGTTGAAAACCAATTTTTAAGAAAACATAAGAAAGGAATAGCCTCCTCAGTTATGTGAAGTTGAGTGATGGCGATCACGATACAGAGAAGCAAAAGGAAATGATCCTATGAATTATTTTGACACTATTTTAAGATATGATAAAACAGTAGGGAAAAAAGAGGAGGATTTTATTTTAGCATGCAAAATATATTAGTTTTAAAATATTATCTAACATGTTAGCATAATTTTACATCTTGAAATGTGATACAATTATTGCTTATACGTTTTATGTGTTCAGCTTGTTTTCTAGGAGCATTGAACTGACCACTTACATCTATGTCTGGGATAACTATAGACTTATGGTTTTGCCCTGGGATTCTCCATGGACTTGGTATTTAACCTTTTTAGGAGTTGACCTTGGCTACTATTGGTTTCATCGCATGGCCCATGGTAAGTCACAAATCAAGGCTGTATTGATAATTTATATTGAATTGTGTTTGACACATAGTAGGGATTCAGTAAATACTTATTGAATGAACAAATAGGGCATAATTGTACAGACATCTGATAACAAATGAAGATGACATTGCAGTTTGATTTATTTTAATTATTCCTTTTCCTTCTCCTTCCCTTCTTTGTTGTTGTTGTTATTGAGATGGCTGGGTACTGCATACACACCTAGCTGTGGGAATGACTTATTGTCAGTTTGGTGCTTTCTGGGGTTCAACCACCAGGTGTCCTGCTATTGGGAATTCTTCACCAAGATTTGCAATCCATCTTTGGTGTGGTTCTTGAACATGTGAAGCTGGGGATCACACTCTTAGTCGAGTCACACTAGTAACGGTTGTGGTACTCCTGAGGGTTGCTGTCATCCTTGCCTGAGGTCACACGTCTCCTGGTGCGTATATCGTTTTGTGTTGCTGGATTCACTAGTGGCCTTACCCCGTTATTGAGGTTTTCACCCACCTGGCTATGGTGAGGTCAGAAATCACTTATGGTGCCAGAAATTACAGACATCACAGCTGACAGATTCAAATTGCAGAGCTGCAGAACTGCCAGTATTACACTTGTTACATGTGAGGCACCACATATTTGAGCTCTAATTTGTAAGACTTGTAAGACTTGTAAGACTCTCTAAGTGCATGTATCATTCCTCTGTGTCCTGCTTTGAAATTCAATTGGAAATAGTCTAGTCATTTTTGGAAAAAAAAAGGTGCATCTGGTACAGTTCTTCTCTCTAATTATAAAAAAAGATGTTTAGAAAGTGATCATTATACATTATTTTTAAATAAAACCACGATTCTTAGAGTATATAAATACACACAATATCAAACCTTAAATTTCAATTCTTTAAGGGTCATTTGCTAAGAGTTCTTGTAGCATCATAAAATTCTAGGTAGAGTAGGCTGTCCGATGTAGTTTTTGGCAGTACTTCTGCTTTACAAATGAAAATGCAATCAGCTATGCACTAACCAAATTGTGCTGCTTCAATGTTACTGTAGTTTACAAACTTTCTCCTCTAACATGAAACTCTTGGTGTGCTGGTTTTATGAATTTGTTTTTAGGGATTCTTTTTTGCACCTTACAAAGAAGTCTTTTGTTATGAAAAGGGATGGAAGAGTAGAGCACAACGTACAACACTGTAAGGATAAGAAGAGGTTAGAATATGCTTATAGACCTAAGGTGATCAAGTGGTCTCTAAGGAGGAATAAGGCAGGCAAAAGTATATCTGGAGGAAAGTGCTAATTTTTAAAAAAACTTCTAAAGAGTTGAACACAGGATTTCAGTGGGTGGTTTTGTTGTGTGGGTGGGGAGGAAGGAAGGAAGAGGACGAAACCTGGAATAATAATAAAAAATAGATGGGAGATGGAAAGAAGAGAAGGAGATCAGGGTGAATGACTGGGCTGTGTGTAGGAGTATGTATGACCAAATATCCTTCCTAAATATTCCGCAAGAATGGCTCCAACAAGTTATGCTTAAGGTGGCCAAATTTTTAATATAGCATTACTTCTATCAAATACTTTGAACACACACATTTAATAAAATCTTATATATTTTTTCATTAAAAAATGGAAGCAACATGTAAACTAGAGTGTTATTTGTTATAACCTTTGTCTTTGAAAATAGTTGGTGAGCTCTTGACATCATTTCCTTGTATATAAGAGCAAGAGGATACTCCTAAATTGAACGTGATTAGGAATAAAATGTGGTCCATGTAGTAAATGTTAGATTTTATTTTAAGAGTCTTTTTCTCCCTCATGTGTACCCACTGCCAATAGTTCTCATTCTCTATGAAACAAATGGGTAATGCAGAAAGAATTTATGTTGTATTAGTTCATTTTAGGAACCTTCTAATATCACACTGTCCTGTATAAGTGTGTTTGTTTGGGAAATCTGCAAATTCGCTTAATCTTTAAAAGCTCTTTATAACAGGAAACAAAGAACCAACAAAATATTGCCAAATATAAAGCTTTAAAAAATAGTTGATTGTAAGTGCTCTCAGTTAGGAAAGAGCAATAAAGTAAAATCATATATTAAAATCTCAGAATCAAGGCTGTTTAAAGTATGCTTCCCATTAGAAAACTTTGAACCAAATCCAGTGGAGGCAGGCATTAAAAAAATCTGAAAACCTTCTGGAAAAACACTCACCACCTTCAGGCTATGAGGCCTAATCATAAGTTCAAAGACTTTTGACTTGTGATGGAAAGCTAGCAGGAAAAAATAAATTAGGGAGCTGAATTTGTTACCCTTTTATATGATATTTAAGTTTTTTAATTTTATGTGATATAATGTAAAATATTAAGCAGAATTTTTAAATGTAGACGTATGCAGGGATAAGAAAAGGAAAATTTCTTCAGACCCTAGGGTTATTGATATATAGATTAATTGGTGAAATTTATTGAACTGAAAAGCATGAATATTTCTAAAATCCAAATGTCACCTGAAACTATAAGAAAAAATCTTGTTTTCTTATTTGTGGTGTCCCTTCATCTTCACTATTTGCAGCAAAATAATACATTTAAAATAGATTCTATTGTCTTTACTATGTTAAATGCTATAATTTTTGAAGAAACAATATATTTTTATTTGGATATCTAGTTAAAATACATCTTTAGAGAGTGAGAGATTGTGCAGGCACTAACGTGCATGCCTTGCATGTGGCTGAACCCAGTTCTATCTCTGGTACTGACATGTTCATTCACTCACTGCTGAATACAGCCCTTACAGGCCCTGAACACCTCTGAAATGGTTTAGGGAATCACTGACACAGTCAGCCTAAGCAGCATGGAAGACCCTGGCCTTTGCATTGAAGCACTAGCCCTGCTGAGCAGCATGGAGGGACTTCTTGGGAAACCACCTTCAATCCAAGTTACTTATTTAGCAATCCAAATTATTATTAGCTTTTTTTTAAATTTGGGAAATCAAAGCGAATTATAAAAAAGCTGTTTTCGTGGTTTCTTTTTCAATGGATTTATTATTTTCATATGTAAAAACACTGCAGATATGTATATTTTGCTGTCTATTTGTATATTTGCTATACATTTCACATAACTGTTTCCATTTTTATCTAATAGCTTCGTATTGGAATCTTCTGGATTTTCTTGTGTTAGATTATGTAGTTAAAAAAGAGTGGCCGGATTATGCCCTCCTTTCCAGTTCAGATTCCTTTTATATCCTTCTCTTGTCTAATTGTTTTACTAAGACTCCCAATGAGAATGATGGCTGTAGGCACACTTAAAGGAGAGAAAGACTGGAAATAAAAGCTAACATTTACTACATGTATCACATTTTATTCCTACTCACGTTGAATTTGGGATTATCCTCTTGCACTTATTTACAAGGAAATGATGTCAAGATTAAATAGTATCACTGAGAGTGGATACTTTTGTTTTGTCCCTGATCTTAAAGGAAAAGTTTTCCAGTTTTTCTATTTAGATGACTGTGGGTCTGTCATTTGTGGACTTTATGATGCTTGTGTCGATTGATTCTTAACCATTTTGTTGAGGGTTTTTAATAAGTTTTATTTTTAGACTTGGATGAAGATAGACTGTACAGAAATTTCTTCTTTGGGCTGGAGCGATAGCACAACGGTAGGGCGTTTGCCTTACAAGCGGCCAACATGGCCGACCCGAATTTGATTCCTCCGCCCCTCTCGGAGAGCCTGGCAAGCTACTGAGAGGATCTCTCCCGCCTGGCAGAGCTTGGCAAGCTACCCATGACGTATTCGATATGCCAAACACAGTAACAACAAGTCTCATGATGGAGACGTTACTGGGCCTGCTCGAGCAAATCGATGAACAACAGGAGGACCGTGACCATGACCAGATGAATTCATATTATACTTTCTCTAATTAGCTGGGCTGGAGGGATATGTAAAATCTAAAAAGAAGGAACTTTGCTTTTTTTGATATTTTTCCCCTTATGCATTTTTGAAATAAAATTTCTTTTGATGTTGAATTTAAGTTACTATGTTTGCGATATTGTACTATGTTTATGGTTTTGATGCACTGTGACTACACCTCCCACTAACACCTATGTGCCCTGTACCTTTCACAAACATCATAATGTTTTTTTCTAATTCACTTAATCATTTCTCCCTTCCGTTACTCCTGATCAATGTTCTCAGTTTTGTAAACCAGGACCAAGTGATAGTCATCATTCCTTACTATTTCCTTGCTTGGTTACTTTAAATCAAGTACTAGTGAGATCTGTACACTTCCAGCTCTTCCAGAATTCTGAAGAAACAAATACCCTTCCTAACAGCTTCACAGGGTTACTCCTCCTGGCTCATGCACTCAGGAATTACTCCTGGCGGTGCTCGGTGGACCATATGGGATGCTGTTTGTTTTATTGGATCACACAAGGATATGCTCTGGGAGCACTCCTCCTGGTGTTCTAGAAACTGTTTGAGGGGTCTGGGATGGAATTGGTTCAGCTATATGCAAGTCAAGCACCATAATATCTGAGCTGTCTCTCTGGCTCCTGGAGACTGTTTTTGAGAACAGTGTTTTTCTTGTGACATTTAATGTGTCACAGATAAAGTGGCTACACAGAGAGCTGGACAGTGTTTATCTCATGCCTCAGTCATAGCTTAATTGTTCTGTTAAGATTCACTGCTTTGGCCTACCACAGAGGTAGGCTGCAGGATGGGAGGGGTGTGGGATAAAGAAAATAAAGATACACTGTTCTCTAGGGGACCATATCAGTATAATACTTGTAACCAAAATATTCTCGAAGTCTCTCTCTCACAAAATTCATTTGTGAATAGTAATGCTCCAAAGATGCTAACTCTAAGACTCTAAGACTTGGGAAAAAGGAATATATATATATATATATATAATATATATATATATATACACATTGCATCTTGTACAGCTCTTCACTCTAATTATAAAAAAAAATATTTAGAAAGTGATCATTATACATTTTTTTTTCTTTTTGGGTCACAC